CTATAATTCAGGCAAAGTTTTAGCTTTTTGTCGGATAAAAATTTTAATAAATCAGGTTTAAGTCAGTTTGACAAAATATTTTAAAATGCTAACAGACCACAAAAATTTGAATATTTTAGTTTAAAAAATGTATAATTTTTAAACACTCATCAACAACATAAACAGCAGAGGTGTGTAGTAGTTTAATTTTTTACAGGACTTAGGTAAATTTTTTGTGGATTTGTAATTTTACCAAGTATGTGTCTTTTACTTCGTTACATTCAAAACATAAAAACTGTACTTTTACTTTTTTACTTTAAAATTTAACACCTTGTTAAATGCTACAAATTAATTTTTTTTTCAAAATTAAATTTTACTGAAGTCAGTTTCTGTTAAGGTATTTTTACTTTTACTTRATTATTTCTTTTAAGTACTTTACCACTGATAAACACAATATTTTTTGTAAAAGGACAAATTATAAGTTTGGTGGATAAGGAGTTCTAAATTGTTGTCTGAAGCATAAAAAGCTTCACAAACTGTTAGAAGAGTGCAGCAAATAAAAATACATGAAACTCACAACTTCTTTGAGTTTGGCCTCGATCTCTTCAGAGGTGAGCTTCTTACTGAGCGGAGTCTTCCTCAGCAGCATGTCGCAGTAGTTGGCCAGCAGCTCTGGACACTTGGACTCTGGCTGAGTTTTCATTCCCACCCTGATAATAAATAAATAATTAATAAAAACTACAAACAAAGTTAAAGACTTGAGAGCTTCAACCTTTCACAACCAAAAGAAAAAAAAACACAGACGAGAACTTTTCTTACCCTTTCTGTTTCATTGGAAGCTCTAATTTAAATATCGTAGCATCGTTCACAACAGCTTTATATGCCTGTAGAAAGATGTAATTAAAATAAATTTTATTTTCATGTTTTTAAATTAGGATGGACGCAGGAGTAGACTGTGACTGACTTTGTCTCTGGCGGTCAGGAAGCGAGGGTCGTCCTGAAAGGCCTCTTTAACCAGTCGACTGAAGCGGTTGAACAGCGTGAGCAGCTGCTCCACGTATTTCTCTGAATCCTAAAACAACAAGAAAACATTAAAAAGCAAAATTTAAAGAAAGTAAGTGTGGATTAAAACTCCTACACGGCACTGTGTGCGAGACGCTCACAGAGGTGATGGTCTCGGCTGAAGCCACCATGTCAGCCAGGCCGGCGCTCATGATGTGCTCCTCTAAGTCCTTCAGCATGGGCTCAATGCCGCTGGGAACTTTGTCCATCAGTGAGAACATCAGGTGCAGCTCTGAGGGAGAGAGAACTGATTCACCTGGAGCCAAAACACCAAACTCCTTTTTTACCAAACTGATTTTCTGTTAAGACGTTTTGACTTTTACTTAGTTACTTTATACGCCTCTGCATTTTCAGAGAAAAGTCATTTAGCACTACTGTCACATAGATGTTCTGCAGACACACAGAAGTTCTGGTCTGGTCTATTTTCTGGAGGTGGGTCTCGTGGTACTCACTCTCTGTCTCGTTTCGTTTGATCATGCCCGGACACTCGGCTAAGATGGTCTCCTTGAAGGACGTTACGAGCGCGTTGACGCAACACTCCATTAACTGTGGAGATGAAACGATGCTACGATGATAAATGTAGTAGACGGTCCAGTACGCTGGGATATTTTATGTGCAAATACAGGAGTGGAGTTGAGTCAAAATATGCCATTGTCTTTAAAAAAACTGAAGAACAAGATGAAAACAGTGAAAAAGTCTGATGATCAAACGTTAAACTGATAATATAGAGGTTTATATTACTCACAGCTTGGACAGAGTTACAGTCGCGTCTCGTCTCCAGATATCTTAAAGCTCGTTTCTCTTCTTCCCTCAGCTTTGAATCGGCCTGGTGACAAAACAGTTACTGAACATAMGATTTTTTTTGTTCCTGACATAAATATGTTGATTTTAGTCTGGGTTTGGTATTATTTTGTTCTGCTGGTGATACGATGGATAAATCCAGATCTGTTTTTGTGATATATATGATACAGAGATTAGTAAAAGGATCAAATTTAATGACGAATGGAATCCAAACTATTTCTGAAACAATAACATTTTTTCTAAATAAAAAAAAATGTATTAGTTTCTCTGTTGCTTTTTTTTTTAGCTCAAGTCTTTTAGGATAAAACCTGTTAAGCTGAAGCCATTGAATCAAACTGAATGGTTATAAAACTGTTATTAATGCTTATTTAGCCCAGACGTGACCCGAGCTGCGAGGAACCAAACCCAGTACTTCTGATCTGACTCAGATGATGTTTGAGGAGGTCGAGTTCTGTTGTGGTTTTGTTGAAACGTGGTTTGTGTTTCAGCTTTTATAAAAATAAAAAAAGCAGCAGGCGACTCACGTATTTCATGTAGTTCTGGACCCCGTTCTGCTGGAGGTACGACGGCGCCTGAGTTCTGTAGAACCTTTCGGTAGAATCCATGTAAGCTTTCTCGAAGTTGTCCCTGTAGATCTGCAGCTTGTCGTCAGGATTGGAGCACAAGTTCACTGCTCACAAACAAATAAACAAATAAAAATACAATAAAAATAAAACAACACTTACTAGAATATTTGAGGTAATAGGGGTGTAAGAAAATATCGATACACTTGCGATATTTGATTTTCTGATGCTGCAKCAATTATTAATTAAGGCTTAATAGGTGGATGTTGTTAGAAGAAATGTGAAAATGTTTTCAGTGTTCTGATTGCATAAAAATAAACTGAATTTAATCAGATTTTATGCATGCATTGTTTTGTAATTAGAATCGTATGGAGAAAAAAAAGGCAATATAATGCTCTGTTAACAGTATCACAACATAGCGATATATCGTATTGTGTATCAAATCACCAAATTCYTGCCAATACACAGCCCTAATAGGTAATATTACCAAATTAAACTGTTAAAATATTTGTCACGGTCTTCTGGCCTCCCAATGCCATAATTATTCCAAACAAAAACATAAATAAATAGAAAGGCTGAGGGTAGCAACAGGTGATTTGTTTCTTGAATGCACTTCTGACTTGATTGTTTGAAAAAAATATATCATTATTTCTAGCAACAAAAAGAACACAAAATAATAACTGATATTTTTTACAACTTAGGTGCAAATGAAAAATAATCTGATTTTACAAGTTTAAAAAGTGGTTAAAAAAATCACTTTACCAAAACCACCAATTGTAACACCGGACATTTGACAAACAAAAAACATCTGCACCACGCTCTGCGGTGTCTTCTTAAACATTTAAATTAAGGGGAGGGTCTAAAGATTACAGTAATTCTAACATTTCCAAATGCAATTATTAAACTTCATGTTTGGTTTACAAATTAACTTAAGTACATTCCAACTGCCTAAAGTGAAAACAAACAAAAATATATAAAATGTATAATTTTTTACACAATTTCAAACATAAATGGCCACAGCAATATTGGTAAAGACTAAATTTGATTCCATTTTTCATCCCATTTTGGTGTTTTTCTCACCGTAAGACTCTCGAACTCCGATGACCAGCTGCGAGTCGAAGGCCTCTCCCAGCCTCTCGGCGTGGACGAGCTTCATGGCGCTGTCCTGAAGACGGTTTTTAATGTTGGAGAAGATGGACTCGTTCCACGTGTCCAGCATGAGCTACGGTAAAAAAAAAACAACAACAACAATAATTAAAAAAATAAAATTTAAATCACCCAACTTTACGGCGTCTGGACGTCCTCACTTTGCGGACRATGCTGTCCTCCACGTTGGACTTCTTGTTGCATCCCTGCTTGCCCATCAGAGTGATCTCCAGCTGGCAGAAAGGTTTGGGCAGGATGTCGCACTGCGTGAAGAACTTCCTCCACTCCACGATGTAGGCCTTCAGCAGCGCCGTGTCGTCCTGGTGACTCAGGACACGCTTGAGGAATAAAAGGTGAGAATCAGGACAGAGTTACTGTAACTGAACACAAAATAAATACAGGATTTGTCCTGTCAGTTAAAGGGATCGATCCACGATTAGTTGTAACATTAGACTTTATTTGATAAACATATATTTTAACTGTAAAATAAAGACAGTAAAAATATTGTAGGCTGTTTACTTTTGTAAATTTTTAAAAATATATTTAAACATGGACGGAGCCATTTTATTTACACATAAAGTATTCTGGGTAAATGATGACRTGGATAGGTCCTCGGTGCGAGGCTGCTAGCGAGCTATATCCGCCCTGAAGGTTAATCTTGGACAATATCTGATGATCGACTCTTTTAAATGAAACCARAGAGCGTTGACAGAGAGGAGAAGGTAGAAATGACTCAGCCTGGAACTGAAAATATGGATGGAGGACAACAGAGCTGCTTCATGGAAGAAGAACCTCAGCTTAGCCTGTTAGCCTTCACGATAGTACTGACACCATAATTATTAGCTCGGCGCTAGTGCAACAAACAAGCTAAATTGAGGTCCTCCATCTATATTTTCAGTTGCAGCTGAGTCATTTTTGTGTTCTCCTCTCTGTCATGTGGATGGAGGACCTCAGTGACATAAGAAGAATGTGTAGCACTGAGCTAATACATATATATGGTGATAGCGTTGGGGCTAACGCTAAAGCTAACAGGCTAAGCTGAGGTTCTTCTTCCATGAAGCAGCTCTGTTGTCCTCCATCCATATTTTCAGTTCCAGGCTGAGTCATTTCTACCTTCTCCTCTCTGTCAACGCTCTTTGGTTTCATTTAAAAGAGTCGATCATCAGATATTGTCCAAGATTAACCTTCAGGGTGGATATAGCTCACTAGCAGCCTCGCACTGAGGACCTATCCACGTCATCATTTACCCAGAATGCTTTGTGTGCAAATAAAATGGGCCTGTCGGTGTAATTTATTTTTAAACTTTTAGTTTAAATATGATAAAAACTAAACAGCCTACAGTATTTTTACAGTCTTTATTTTACAGTTAAAAATATGTTTATTTAATAAAGTCTAATGTTACAACTAATCATGGATCCCTTTAAAGACCAGCAGAGGGTTGAATGAAGATTAAAAATAAAAGAAGAGCTTTCTCACTGCTTGAGCTTGTTTGATAAAATCTAAGATGTCCTCTTTGAGAGCCTGGTGGATCTTAGCTGGACCTTTGTCGTCCCACAAGCAAACTGCATGGACGTCCCTAAAGAGACAGAGACGGGACAAAACGATGATCATTTCTGCCTCCAACAGCTGGGAACAAATCAGGATTAAAGCCACAGAAAACTCACGAGAACAGGTCGAACCACTGCTGTTTGGTGACGGACTCCTGCCGCAGGAGCTTCAGCACGATGGGGCGCATCAGGTCCCATTTGTCCTCAAACTGTAGGGAGCCTTTGTTCTGGWGTCAGACAGGAGAAAACACAGCTCGTTTGACGTTTACCGTAAAACACGATTAACACTCTGACACTAGTCTGCCTAGCTGCACTCTTAAATGTTTTCTGCTTATCCATGGCCAAGTTTGAAGTTCATTTCAGAYGCTTCTATCCGTTATCTCACCTGGTTAAATTAAAATAATGCAGAACAGTTTTTTGCRCATTGTTTGAAACACAGTAAAGATTCACAAGACTTGAAAGCTGCATTCTAAGTTGATTGTCTACATTAGCAGAGACCTGTGCCTCTAAGTATCTTTGGGTGATAAACACTGGTACCAAATAAATAAACAAGCGCATAGTTACAATATTCATTATGTTACTTTCATCTGTTTTTAAGTACACTAACTACTAGGGGGTGTAAATCACCAGCTTTATCACAATATATTGATTTGTTTCCATATCTCAATGTCAGTCCTGACACGATTTGATTCGATTCACTAGTCTGCAATTGATATGAAGCAATATGCCCATCTAACAATATGGATTGATGTTTTTATTTTAACTCAATTTAATTGAATCACTAATAATTTAATAGATATATCGATCAAYATATTGTTACACCCCTACTTAACACAGTCCTTTTTAAAACTAAAGCAAAGAATAAAATCCAGTTAGTAGTCATTTTAGCGCGTGAATGTGAGTGTGAATGGGTGGATGTCTGTAAGTGTAAGGCGCTTTGGGGTCCGGAGGGACTTGATAAAGCGCTCTATAAGTTCAGTCCATTTACCATTTTACCATTTTGAAATGGAATTAATCCTAATTTTTTTTCCAAGACCACATTTAGGTGTTTTGGGACCCAGATTAGGGTTGTGACCCCAACTTTGTGAACCACAAGTTTACAGCTAACAGTGTTTTAATTTTTTTCCCCCAAGTTAAAAGTTATGTTTTACGCTCATGAAACTGTATTAAATTTTTAGAGCACTAAGATAAATTTGACCCAAACATCCAATTAAAAACAGGCTCTTCAATAAATTGTGCAGACATCTGCAGGTTTGGTTGAATGATTCACAATCCAGTGTTAAAGTGACTTCAAATAGATTATTGAGATTTTTTGCAGAGCCTTGCTCCCTCTGCTTCAGCTATAGCGATGTATTTTGTTATGGTTTATTACAAAGCTCAGATTCTAAGATTGGGTGCTCAGAAGTACTTGACAGTTGCTCCATGCAGCCTTTGTTGTGTCTGTAAAAAACTGCAAATTCCAGAGCTGCTAAATGACAGAGATTGGAGGCAGCCGTGAACTAAAATCATAATTTTAGCGGAGAATAAACCAACAGTTTGAATCCTGGTTGTTGTTTATCTGCGGCTTCCTTGTTTCTGCTTCATAATTCACATTCATCTCTGCTGCTTTTATTTTATTTTAGCCAAGCGAAATCACTGACAAGCAGCAGCGGCGGCTAATGTTAATGCTAACCAGATGTAACTTCACTCCAGCCGGTTAAAGTCAACATTACGGGCTCCGTCATGTGCAGCCGCTGCGAAACGTCCGCAAAAAGTAGCGCTAGACGGCAGCGTTACATGATAAAAATGACAAGCGTTTCAGTGAGCAGTGAACACGAATAATTGAATTGTGCCTCCCTACCTTTAGCAAATTAGACGGCGCCGCCATGTTCCCTTAACTTATCCTCTCGAAAAATCTCGCGAGATTTCAGAAGTGGGGATTTAAACAGAGCAAGTGCCAGTGCAGTGATCTTGATGGATTTTAGGTGGAAAATAAAGTATTATAATCCTTAAAAGACGCAAGTTCTAATGTTTTGAAGACATTAAATTATATTATGCTTATATCAGCTCGGAAWAAATGTTATTATGTGACTTCCTGTGAGTTTTTACACACACATCATGGCATGATTACCATAGTGGAATACAAAAGTTCAAGTATGGCTTTGAATTACTACTAATACTTGTGCAGCTGTGCAAATATTTGCGAAGTTTATTTAATAGATTCACAACTACACTTCTCCCTCAACCCAGACCCCTGAGTTCATCTCATGACCTTGTTCCTCCTCACAGCACTGTCTGCTAACAGGTCATTTCCCACTGAGTAGGACTAAAGGTAAGATAACAATATTTGTACAGTCTCTGGGGGAGTTATTGTTTCATTTACAGTGCAGTCTTTGTTATCATTCCCTCTCAGCTTATTATTCTCTCAGCTAAGCGGGAGGGATTTTAACCTTCACATGAGAATAACAAAGGCAGTTTAGATAAGCAATGGGGAGTTCATGGCAGGAGAGGAAAATCTGGAAGCTGATCTGGATTTGGAAAACAGCAGATATTAAAAGAAAATGTTGCTTTTTGAGCTAAAAAATATTTTTAATTAAATTTTACGATACAGTATAAAATAACATTTTTAATGCAAATTTTGTCAATTATTTTAAGTGTATTATACATTTATACAAGAGAAGCTTTTATTTCCTCCATATCAGCACCAACCTAAGCGATTGCATGACGCAACGTCCATCAATTCCTTCTAACCAATCAGAGCACAGAAAGGGCGGGCTTTGCATACCCACCAAGTTAGATTGATCCATTACTGTACCCCGTGAATGAGGATGTAGTCCAGAACTATCAGAAATCCGGATGATTATCTTGGTCAGAAAATTTCATACCCATAAAAAGAGATGACCGAAGAGAAAGGCGTATGCAACGATTTATTTTTAATCATTTTATTTTGATTTTAAATAGTTGTTTGTAGTAGCTGCTAGTTTGAAACGTGGGGAAGCGCTGACGATGTTGCGCGCGTGAAGCACATTGACCAAACTGCATTCAGAAAGTAAGAGTTTTAACATTTTTTGTAGATCAGTTCTAGTAGTTATGATGATTTCAATTTAATTAAATATATTTTTAGTATTTTCACGATCTGTTTTAAAGATCGGCATAACTCTGCCACACTAAAACATGACTTATCCTGTTTTTCCTGTTGATCAAGGGCTAAACTCTTTAAAACACTGCTTCAGCTTCCACCTCTACGGTGCATTTAAGATGTCAGAAAAACGTTCTTTTTATTGTTTGCCAGTGAAGATAAATTAAATGACCATTTTACCCTTTAAGCGTGAGTCTTTAACACCCAAACGTTTCTGGGAGGGCACATCACATTCTTGTGCAGATTTGCAGATTTTCTGCTTGAATAGTTATGATGAGGAAAACTTTTTTTTTTCATCATCTTGTTCTTGTATTTTTCCAGATTAGGCTCTCGGAATGATGGAACAGCCCATGGAGGACAGACTGTGTGGGAAAGTGAGCTCTGCCTGTGGAGTGAACAATTACAACCTGAGGGATATCTTCACATGGTGAGCAACATTATGTCAGCTTTTTACTTTCATTATTATTTAAACCTTTACAGATATTTCATTGAAAAATGTGTCTGTGGTTCATGTATTGAAGTCATATACAGTAGAGTAACACATGAATTGTGATCCTTATGCACAAACTTGGACTTTATCTAAAATCAATTGCTGTGGAATTACAAAGCTATCTCTAGATATCTTTGAATTTAGAGAAGTTTTTTTTTTCGGCCCAGCCCCCTCCGTCTTTTCCGTGACTGAAAAATCTGATGGGTGATTTGCTTYGTTTCTGTTTGACTCACGACAATGTTGCCAACCCTCCAGGCGCCTGTTGAAGACCATCCTGATGGGTCAGGTCCTGTCCCTGCTGATCTGTGGGACGGCCGTCAGCTGCCAGTTCCTGGCTGAGCTGAAGGTGGAGACGCCCATGTTTCAGAGCTTCCTCAACTACGCCCTGCTGTTGCTCACCTACACCACCATCCTCTGCGTCCACAAAGGTCAGAACGGCAATCAGTCAGAGGGAATGAGCCCTAAAGTTGTGAAAAGATTTTTAGGAATCCACAGTTAAGTTGATTTGGTCTCTAACTGTAGCTATAAGTACTAAAACATCAGGAAAAATTAGCAAAACAGATGCTAATATTGTAATTTATGTTTAGTAAAAAGCTGCGTTGTAATCTGTTTCTTCAGGTGACCGTAACATCCTACAGATTTTACGACACAAGTGGTGGAAATATTTGGTGATGGGTTTGGCAGACGTGGAGGCGAACTATGCAGTTGTGAAGGCGTACCAGTTCACCACCCTGACCAGCATTCAGGTACGAGAAAACAGCTGAAACTCACGGAGGAAACAGGTTTTACTGTGTTATAATCATATAAAATATTAATTTTTGTTCCAACTTTAGCTGCTGGACTGCTTCGTGATCCCGGTGTTGATGCTTCTGTCCTGGTTCTTTATGAAGACCCGCTACAAGCTGGTCCACTATGTCTCTGTTACGGTGTGCTTGTTGGGGGTGGGGGCCATGGTGGGTGCCGACATCTTGGCTGAAAGAGACCGAGGGTCCAGTGAGGATGTTTTTGTTTTCCTCCTCTGTAAATGTGTTTTTATTTGTCGTGGACCTGGAATCTGAACTCATTTCTTGCCTCCGCAGCCAGGGACGTGCTGCTGGGCGACGTGCTGCTGGGCGACACGTTGGTCCTGCTCAGCGCTGGGCTGTACGCCGTGTCCAACCTGTGCCAGGAGCACACGGTGAAGAACCTGAGCCGGGTGGAGTTCCTGGGCATGATGGGGCTGTTTGGGACCGTCATCAGTGGGGTGCAGCTGTAGGTTCCTGTTTGAATCTGGCTTCAGCGCTCCCCGTCGATGCTTTCGTTTTACCCACGTTTATTCATTTCTTTTTTCAGAGCTGTTCTGGAAAGTCACGCAGTCTCAGCCGTAGAGTGGAGTCTTTCCACTGGTAAGTCAGAAATCGCCGTTCAGGGGTTGCCGTTTCCCCTCATCATCATCATCGTCGTCCTTCCTCTTCCTCAGTCATGCTGTTTGCGGTCTACACCCTCTGCATGTTCGCGCTGTACAGCTTCATGCCCGTCGTGGTGAGGATGACGAGCGCCACTGCCGTCAACCTGTCCCTGCTCACCGCCGACCTCTTCAGCCTCTTCTGTGGACTCTTCCTCTTCCACTACAAGGTGGGCGGTTCGTGAACGAGCAGCTTCCAAATGTAGCAAAAGGTTGTTTCATAGAGGTTGGCCTTTTTTCCCCCTCAGTTTTCCCTCCTCTACATCATCTCGTTCGTCGTCATCACCGTCGGTTTCATCATGTTCAACGTCGTCCCGACCTCCTTGGCGTTGCCTGAAAACGAGGCAGAGGAGGCTGCCGACGGCGCGGCGGAGAGCTCCCTGGACCTCCTGCAGGCAGAGGACGCCCCGGGAAACGAAGCGGGCATTTCCGTCGACGTCTACGGCTGAGAACGGATCTGACTGGTTTTTATTTAACTGAGATGAGGTCAAAGGTCACTTTTTTACTTTTATATTGTTACAGATGTAAAAAATAATAATAATGTAACGTTCTCAGTTGCTGTTATTGTTCCTATATTTGTAAAAATTTACAGATTTTATGAATTATTACATATTTTTATTTGCTTTTGTAAATATGACAGATTTTCATTCCAACAATTAATCAACAATTTATTTATTTTATGGCAGTTTTTAAGCCAGCACAAGTCGGCCATGAGGGTTTTTTAAATTCTTTTAATTGTTTATTATTATTATTATTATTATTATTATTATTGCCTGACTCCAGACAGGTGTTCATCCTGCTTTCTGTGAATCTACTGTTATATTAAATGTTTACTCATCCATTAATAGTAAAATCAAAAATGAAGGGATAAAGGTATTTAAAAAATATTACTAAAAGGAGTATAATATGTTGTGATACGATAAATATGAGATTTAAAAATGCACAAGAAATTTTTTTTGGAGCATTTAGACCAATTTTGACAAGGTAAAAATTTTTTTTGCAAGGTTTATAGGATTCATCTGAACTGGATGGGTTTAGTGGCGACACAAAAAAACAACTAAAATTAAAAATAAAAGCCTGCGTGGTCACAGACCTTCTATTTTTGTGTGCTTTCCTGTTGTTGTTTTTTTTTTTCAAACTGTTACATCTTCAAAAACACACATATCTGACTTTCTAAAAAAAGCTCAAAGTAATGAAGTTTAATGTTTAAATTAAACCTAATTAAGTTTAATGATATTTAAACCNATTTAAACCTTACTGTTAATTTATAAAAATGCTTGAATTTTTGACATTAAAAATGTCAGAAATTAACTTAAAATTCTATATTTTTGAGAAATTTATAGTTCTAAAAAGAAAAATATAAACCCTGTGCACTATCCACTGAATAAGAGTTGTTTATTTATTTGAACCCAAACAAAAGTTTTATTGTGCCTCATTTTATCTGTGTTGCTGCTACAGTTGAAATGATTGTCTTTTATTCACCAAAGAAGCTGTAAATTTTGTTTTGCCAACAGTTAAGTGTGTCAGCATGCAGCCAGTTTCACCTTTTTCACWAATAAACTGATTTTAAACCTTCTGGAGTCTGTTTCCTTTCTTTAAAGAAGCAGTATTCTGGGTTTAGTGACATCTAGTGGCCATGTTGGTAACAGCATCCGTCAAAGTTGGGGTCAGGACCCTGATTGTGGGTCTTGGAGCATTGCGTTTTGGGCCTTGGGGTGGCTATTAACAGCATAATCTCATCTCCATCTTTTACTGTTTATCCTGAGCGATGATCCCCAGCTCCTCCTAGATCCCAAGGTGTTTCCAGACCAGAAAAGACAGTTCCTCCTGGGTCTGGCCCGGCGTCTTAACAGTTTAAAACCGAATTAATCTTTCTCTTAGAAGACATATCAGGTGAACGAACCTCGCCTCATTGACGCCTCCAGAAATTCTTGTGCTTGAAACCCTCGCCGCCAACRAGGAGTCCGCTGTGTTCTTCATGCCTGAAGACCTCGTCCAGATCTTCCACAGACTGTCCAGGTTTCCTTTTAGTCAATAAGTGAGCTACACTGCCACCAAATGGGCAAAAAATAGATTATTGGGTTTACAGTAAAAAATAAAATCACATTTTTTTTTACATTTTTGTGATAAAATAGGCCCTACAATAAAAAATACAAATTATCTGAAAATTTTACGATTTTACACTAGATATTTTACAAAAGAAATTGCAGAAATTTGTTAAATGATCCGGTTTTATCTTTAAATTTTGAATTATTTTATATAATTTGTTGTGGAAAAACTCGACATTTTAAATGTTTTAAAGGTCTCATGAGGGTAAATGCTGGATTAAAGCAGTGGATGATCCTCTGCAGCTCCTCTGCAGGTTTCACAGCCTCAGTCTTTGTGTCTCATCATGGAGGAGCAGCAGAGGACTGGATCCGTCTGAACCAGAACACAGAACCCGCACAAACCCCCGAACCATCCCGCAGTCTGCCCGGACCCGTCTGAACACCGCGGTAAGCTTCGTCTTTCGGGGTTTTAAACCCATCTGCGTGCTTTTATCCGCGGATTGTCTAATCTGCGCCTCGGTGTCACGGAGGAGGAAACGGGCCCGTGAATCCGGTCGGTACCGTGGGTTTGATTTGGGTCGGAACAGGAAGAACTGGGGCGCTCGGTTCTGCAGAGATCCTGCGGGTTTAAACCCGCACCCGCGGGTGCTGCACCCGCGGGACAGATCCGGATCGATCCGGAGCTGTCCGCGGTGCTGAAAGCTTTAAAGCGTTAAAGCTTTTAGCACCGCGGACAGCTCCGGATCGACGGGCCTGAAACCAGAAACAAAACAATTAAAACCTGCTCCTGTCTGCAGGATTTGACGCATCTGGACCAGAACCGGACCCTCCTGAGGAGAAACTGATCCAACATGAAGCATTTTCTCAGGTAAACACATGAAGGATCTGTGTGTAAATCAGATTATATTGGATTATCTTACAGTTTATGGTGATATTGGTTGTTTTTTCTTGGTTTAATAGTGATGTTTTTTGGTTAATAGTTTTTTTTAAATCAGATTGTTTCAGCTGTTTATGGTGATATTGGTTTAAATCAGGTCTCTTTAATGGAGGAGCTCTCCTGAGAGATTCCTATAAATAGCTCTGCTGTCTCTTGTTGCACTTGGAGCCTGAAACTCTGACAGAAATGTCAGAATATTGGCTAAAAACTCATTTAACATGTTATTCTGAAACATTTATAAAACGCCTCTTTTAAAGCAAACTAGATTATTTTATTATTCTCATCTGTGTAGTTAGACCTGGACCTGGATGATTTCTGTAGGCTATAAATCCAAATCATATTCAAATCATAAAATAGTTCTTAAAACAGCATGACATTTAATTATATTTATCTGAAAAACAAACAGATAAAAATATTGTCTACCACTGAAGGTGGAAAGTTATCTATTAAATATGTTAAAGAGTTCATACCTTATTGCTTGATCCCAGTTTGGTTATAATTTAATTACAAATTTGAGTTGCTGTCATTAATAAATCAGTACACCTCTGTCACATGGCACTACATGGTTGTCTAGGAAGGATTTTAAGTTAATTGCTAGCATAAATAGTGGCAGTGGCAGCTAGCTGTAGCAGTTCTAATGAAACCTGGGCTACTTTCTGCAGAAATAACCACATTTAGCAAAACTGATGGACACTTACATGTTTAGAAATCCATGTTTACAGGAATTGATGACTTTTTAAGGCTGGAGTTGGGTCAAAAAGCTGTGCAGACTCGTATTTTTAAATCTGATTTGCTCTGAACAAACAAGTCTTGAAACAAACCTTTTGTCAGACCAAACATCTCTGCAGGATATAGAAAATTAACCTTCATGTGTCAAACAAATCACTTCCTGTTCAAACCAGTCGTGTCT